TACTCGCACTCGATACTCAACCCTACTTGTTCTTTAGTACCCTAAGGATTCTTACTTGGACTGCTCACCGACCCGGTGTTTCCAGTAGTACGGGCCCTATACTACCTTCCACAACGCATCGGTATTCACCCCAAGTCCTCCTCCTAGGATCCCAGGTCACAAGTACTCTACATCTCGCTAGCATAGGCTACCCTTCGGTAGACCCCTCATCAGTTCCTCGCTGCTACCTACTCACTCTCCAGCATCTCATAGTAGTAGTAATCTCCTAGGCTAAGGCATTACATATCAGGCCACTCTAGTCCTAATATGAATACCTAGCCTATTCTATCTTGCATAACATATCATATCATATCTCATAACATATAATGTAAGGGTATTTTGGGAAATCACCGTTCTGCGCTGGCTGACCGTACACACTGCTCTGTTCTGCTCGTCTCAAAACCTTTTACTCTTTTTAGAAAAATTATTTTATTGCGAAAAATTCCTCAAATCCTCAATTTGAGTTCAGATACGCCCAAAGGTGCGTCCGAATCCCTCAAACCAAGGCTCTGATACCAACTTGTAACAACGTAAATTTCCAAAACAATTTTTCATTTTTAAATCGTACTTTTAATCATAAAACAATATTAAAATATAATGTATCCAATGTCATCATCACAAAACAATTCCCAGAATCTCAACATAATCTCTATGAGTGTGTACTGATCATGCTGACGCCTTCCCGCGATCCTCGCTGGTACCTGAAACGCATAACACAACAATTGTAAGCATAAATGCTTAGTGAGTTCCCCAAAATACCACATACAACACATACGCCACTCGAGGCTACAGTGAGACCCTCCGGTCGATGTGTCTCAGCGGAACCCTCCAGTCCCGTAGCTCGTTGGACCCTCTGGTCCGGTCATAGCTCGTTGGACCCTTCGGTCCGGTCTATATCGTTGGACCCTTCGGTCCGGTCTATATCGTTGGACCCTCCGGTCCGGTCTATACAACACATAGCATACATATATCACAATGCACATAATCTCATACATACACATAGCACACAAGACCCTCCGGTCTACACATAGATACCACTCTAGGTAATGTATAGTGAGAAGACTCACCTCGGATATCTCGAATGATCTCTCACACGAATATACTGATCTAGCCCCCGCCTAATCACATACACAATATCCTCAAATAAATAATGGCTCTCAAAGGCTAGATTAAATCCCCTTCTACAATCCCTCAGAAGGGTAAAAGATCATTTTACCCCTCCTTGACCCAAAAGTCCAAATGTTGACCAAAACCCTAAAAGTCAACGAAAGTCAACGGTTAGACTTTGACCCGACTCGTCGAGTGCACATGGGCGACTCGGCGAGTCCACGCGGGTCTCGTGAATCCTTCTAAGCCTTACTTGGCACGTCGAGTCCCTCCTCTACTCGCCGGGTTACTCTGCAACGAATCGGGGGGCAACCCCGACTCGACTCGTCGAGTCCACTTATGGACTCGGCGAGTTGCTCCCATAACAACTCTCAAATGACCTTCTGAGGTCAGATCTGCTTCTCTAAACTATAGATCTGACTTCTCCACGACCAATAACCACGTAAAGGTCGAAACTTGACTCACATGCAAAGCACCCAAGGCTTTCCTTGGTGAAATAGCTTCTAAAATGGCAACCTAGTCTCCTTTCCTCCATAAACCAACATAAAACAGAACGGGGAAGGCTCTCTGGACCTCTATGGGTCCAGATCCGAGGTTTAACACAGCAAGGGACCATAAACTCAACTTTTCAAGCCCTAAAAGGTTATAGAAAACCCTAGATCATAGATCTTAACCCAAAACAGGAAGGAAGTTCGATTTGATACCTCAATAGTGTAGATCTGAACTTGAAAACCCTGGATCCACAGCTCCCTTGACCTCCTCTTGCTGGAAACAACTTCTCCTTTGCTAAATCACACCAAAATCGATCAATATGGCCTTATCACTCTCTCAACTTGCTCAAGCTCTCAAGGGGCACTCTCTCAGGACAGGTAGCCGCACAAGGAGGGCTATAAGGTCCTTTAAATAGGGATCAGGCCCGGGGATTTAGGGTTTCAACTTACAACGTGGACTCGTCGAGTCCCCCCTTTCCGACTCGTCGAGTCCGCTCATTAATCCAATCAGCAAACGCGATCCTACTCGACGAGTCCAAGCGTCGACTCGTCGAGTCCCTCTCTTTTACAAAAAGAAAACATGATCAAACATAATACCTGGAAATCCGGATGTTACAAAGAAGCTCAAGACCACTTATGGAGGATTAGGGTTTCAGGATAAATGTTCTGGAGGTGATGGAGGCTGGACAAGAGGCCCATAATGTTGCTTAAATAGGGTGCAAACCCTACATATTAGGGTTTCCCCCAGACTGGCCTACTCGTCGAGTCAAGGCGTGGACTCACCGAGTAGGTCACTTAAACCCGCGTCCAAACCTGGCATCTACTCGACGAGTTAGGGCTACAACTCGTCGAGTAGATCTTATAAAATGACATTTAATGATTTAAATACGTACCAGAAACGGGGCGTTACATAATAAAACTTAGTTGCACACTCTAGGTCTAGTTGTGGTACGACCGTTGTACTATACCAACTCTAAATATGGTTTTTGAGCTAAAATCCTGAGTTGCGACTTCGTGGGTTCGTATTGTTGGGTAGTAGATATACTTATATGAGCGTATCTATATCGCTCTTAATCTTTGTTGGGTTGGATGTATTTTTAGGGTTTGTACTCCAAGACTATCAAGTAAGGATCAACCAGATGAGAAGTACAGGTGGGCGGGATCATTTTAGCATATATTCGTTATGAAATCCAGTCACCCAAGCGATAGTTCAAACTAGACACCTCTCCCGTAAGTAGCAAGAAGTAGGGTAATTGATATTAATACTTTATTATTAGGCTTAGAGAGCTAAACCTAATCAGAGTGTAGTCTTACATTATAGTTGTATTTCCTAAGGAATTACTAGTTCGCTATAATATGTAGTTCTGATACCAATCTATCACACCCCCGGCCGGTGGCGGAAGCACCAAGCTATGCGACGTTAGGATGTTGGGGTTTCAGGCGAAGATATGCATTGAATAATACACAGAATGTACTAAACAACGTAGTTATTTATTCATTAAATAAAATATATAACATAGTTGTTCGAGGTACATGTAGGTTACGAAAGCAAAGTACAAAAGCAAAGCACATAAATCTCGGGCTGCATCACCGGGGTTATCTCCTTCTTCGGGCGGGTTCATTCTCCTGAGAATACATGTGGTTTGAGAGGTCAACATAATGTTAGCGAGTCCATAGGTTTTATTGTAATAAAACATGTGTGGGTATTTTAGTTGTTTTGTTTATCCTAAACTCACTTCCTTGAGCTTGTGAGTACTATCACTACTTCCATAGGTAGGTTCTTAGTGGGAGTCTAAGATAGTTGAGTGTTGGTTGACCTAAACTCGCTTCCTCAAGTTTGTGAGTACTATCACTACTTAGTTGAATTAATCCTAATAGTAGTTTATGATAGTTAGTTTTAGTTTAACAAAGTTACGATGAGTTCCTATAATCGAGCTATGGCTGTTGATCCTAAAAGAAATAACGTGACGCTTCATCAGACGTCACTGTGGTAAGAAAGTTATGCTTGCTTCGACTTGCCGTCGGGTTGTAGCTAGCAACCACAGGTGTGAGTGTCAATCCCGTATAGATCTATACATATCTCTCTCGCTCATTTAAGAATTAACGATTATAGGCCGGGCGCTAGTTGAATATCAATCAGCGTGTTGATGAATCGTGTATCATCTAACTCTTGTCGTGGGGGCCTCCCCTGGACGGTTGTGTTGTTATTCGCGTTGTGTTTTATACGGTATACTTTTTATAATATATATATATATATATATATATATATATATATATATATATATATATATATAGTGTGTTTAGCATAGCCGAGAATTTGGGCAGAGTAACACTAGGTACTAAGCTTATCTAAAGATGGCTATATTAATGTGTTTCAGTTTCTTTCATGTGATTATGCATCTGTTTACTTATTATATGATCTTTCTCCAATTACGGTTACCATCAAAGAGGAAATACGCAGTTTTCTACATTTCATTTCTCGTTTATGTGCAGTCCTTGGTGGTATATTTGCTTTAACAAGTTAACTCTTCTCAACTGTTTAACACCAAGGTAAATAGGCTAATATAATTTTTAAGATTAGGACATAGAAATCTATCTCTAACATAAAGATTTTGGTAACTTTCATTAATTATTTGAACTTCAGTTATCATTCTACTTGACACTTTGTAGAAAAGTTGAAAACAATAATAGTAATACATATGAACTCTCCATGCTTGCACAACATGAACATTTTTTCTTTCCAAATTTTGCCAAATACAATGTGGATTTGTATAACAGCGATCATGAATGTTCATGTTTTGCAAGTGCATTTTTTTGTGATACTTTCAGCTAAAAGGGTGGTTTTGATACGAAATGTCAAGAATCTCATCAATAAAGTGAACCATTTTTGCATAATAATATAATTGGAAATTTTCGGATTGCATTTGCCGATGAAAGTTCTTTAAACATCTGATTTGATACATAGTTTGATAGAGATGTTTGGTTATAGATTTAAAGTCTAAAATACCCTTGACGAAGACAAAATAATTAAAACCAGTGGACCACAATGATCTCATCTGTACTAATTGGGCAGATAGTAGGAACTAGGAAACAACAATGCACTTTGCTTTTGGCCTATAATAGCAATGCACTTAGATTTTTACTTCTTATAGCAACATACTAAACTTATTTACTGATAACAACACGTAATCCTGTAAGCATTTTACAAGTTTCAGGTTACATATTGCTCTTATCTTTTTTTAGTGGATTAATAAACTCGTGGTCTCTTGTTGCTAATTAAGTACTATGGTTCCCTACTTTTTCTTTTCATCAAGTGTTATGTAGATAAAAGTTTGATTTAAAACAATAGTAAAATGAAGAATTGGTGAAAGGCAAAAGCAGGCAAACATTCACAACTTCAGAAATTCATGCCTACAATCAAGTTACACAATTCAAATACATTTCAAGTAATTGACCAACTGGTATAACATAAATAAACCAATGGATTAACTCTCACTCCAAAAGACACATGAACTCAAAAATATTTACTAGGTTGGGTTGGGTTTGGGTTTGGGTTTGGGTTTGGGTATGGGTATGGGTATGGATGGATACATGTTGATTAGTGAGTCGTTCCCTTTGATTGGTTGGTATGCAACTATGCATGTGGCAGGTGGTTAATGCTCTTCTTCTGCACAAGTGCATAGAATCAAATTTACATAAATCTCCCTCCCATCAGCACAACCCCTGAGTCAAGAGTAGTAGCATGCATATGGGCCAAGAAAGAATTCTTCAAATTCCCTATCCTAAAAAGCAACCGAGAAAAAAAAAAAACAAAAAACCCTAATTTCACCCAAACTCATGACACTTCTTGTAGTGCAAGATTCAACTCGTGTGCTGACTTGGTAATCGATCCCCCCCTTCTAAAAAAAATCAAAAAGAGATCGTATTTAGATGCCTTTTTTTTTTTTTAATATTTTCATTGGAAAAATTGAAAAATAAAGTGAAAACAGACCTAGTTAGAGGCTGCAAGCAACGCTTGACCTTTTCAAGCTCCACGTAACAGAGGTTGCAACGCTCCAGCCTGGCACCCAACATTTTATCAATACAAATATTTAATTTCAGAAAATGACGTTAAATCAGTTTCAATTAAGATTTGAAGAAGACACCTTTGTTCTGCTTCTATATCAACACCAACAGAGGCTGATGCTTGTAAAGATGAATATATGACTGAACCAAATGTCCTCACCAGCTTTAGCAGCAATTCTAGTGATAATCCTTGATGCCTAAATTCATCAACCATGATTAAGTTAAATACTACACTTTTACATCATATCATTGTAAAATTTTGAGGTAATTTGCTCAATCGCATACTTATCCATGTCGCTTTCAAGGAGGTTTGTGAGGAGAGGTAGTAGACAAGAACAAATATCCAATGTGATGGTGTCCATTTTTTCTGTCAAAAGACTGACTATATCTGCAGTCACCTGAATTGTAATAAAAAGAAGATTGGGAGTCAAGACTAAAAGAATCAATCACCAAGAGATGCATGCAATAAGAAGAGATTTTTTTTTTTTTTACTCACAGAATGATCAGCCATCCTCTCCATTGCTCTAATTGCTGCTTTAATATCATTCCTATCCCAGCATCTATGGATCATCTGCAGATAACAAGAGAAAAAGTATATAAACTTTTCCAATAGCATAACTAACTTGGATCTTAAGGAAAAAAAAAAACAATGAGAATAAAGAAAAACCTGTAGTTTTGCTAGACGAGACTGCATTGAAGATACGAATTGATCATGCCGTCCCATTATATCTACAATAGCATCCTCCTCTGTGAAAGGTTCTGTTTCCTTTGCACTAGATTCAGATAACTGTTTCTGCATAGATTCATATACAATAGCAGAAGAAAAATCAGGATTATCTTTTTGTTTATAATGAAAACCGAGTGTCTGGAGGAATGAGTATAAAAGTATCTACAACTAGTGTCATACCACAGACACAGGATTTGGCAGTGTGTTGACAGCAGAGACAGAGACGCTATCAGAGAGGCTTCTGGAAGGAAGAGTGTCATGATAAGGTGGTCTTTCTTTTCTGTCCCAAGTAGAAACAAGTGTGCGTGTTCTTCCTGAATATATAATATATAGAGAGAGTTTAATATTCTTCATTCATGTTGTTGATTGTGTAAGAACAGGAAGGAATCAGGAAGAAGAAGAACGGGTATTATATTTATACCTCTTCGTTTGCTTTCCATAGAATAATTATCTCTATGTGGTCGTTGTAGGCGTCCTTCATCTGCAACAATTGCCATAAGAATAAATAATGATATATACTTTTGGTATATTTGTGAATTGAGAAATCATCAACTCAACGTAAAGCAATATATTATAAGAATGAGAACTTATAAGTTAACATGTTAAGTTGAAAAAGAAATAAAAGGTGACATCTTGACCAGAGGGTCCGCTTGATAAGTTACAATTTCAAAAGACTTAGAAATTTCAGGATAACAAATAACTAGTCTAAATTTTGAAAATTGGGGTTCTGTTTCATATAATCCTAACTGCAAAAAGGTCTTTCTTTTCAGATACATAAGGGTGTTTCTTTCTGGGTCTGGGTGTTCTCTGTTTTGTTGCAAAGTTTGACATGGGTGTCTTGAATTTTGATAAGAAAGCTATGTGTAGTGAGAACATGAATCTTTCTTATTTGGGTGTTCACTGTTATGTGGCAGAGATAGACCTAAATTGGAAAATTGTAGTCAAGATAAGAGCTATGGAACCTCAATTTTAAATCAGTATGGGTGTTATATGATTTCAGGGTTTTTGTGGCAAAGATTGACCTAAATTAATTTGGATGTTTTGTGGCAAAAATCAACTTGGGTCTTTTGTGGGAAAGAAGTAGAACAACCTACATTGATTTGGATATTCTTTGTGTATAGAGTTAATTCAGTCTCTACACAACTTTGGCTGCTTATCATTCTTTCTTAGAAAAACATGTATGCTAAACTACTACAGCAATTTCAAAACTACAGATAAACAGTCATTTGGTCATAACATTTCTTTGTTGGTGACATGTCATAACACTACATCTACATCATGAGAGTCAAATACATGATCTGAGAGATAAATTGATGGCTTTGTTTCGAAGGAACACATTTTAATAGTGATCCAATAAAAAAAAATGTTGGCATGAGCAACAATATAAACATAACATTTTAATAGAGAATTAAATACGTACAGATTTCAGGCTGGTAACTCGGAAGTGATTCTGTCACTACATTTTGTTCAGCCTTTCCAGAAACAGAGCTCCTGTCATCTTCAAAACTTGTCTCCTTTGCAGGAATCCCAAAACCAGACTCTTTCATTGAAGTAAAACCACTTCTATCAGCAACTCGACTTGACTCAGTGTCACTTAAATCACTCACAGAATGTCCAGAAGCTAATGGCTTCTCTCCTTCATCCTTTACATTCGAGAACTTTCTAGAATCAGATGTTTTCGACAGTACCATTGTTGGCATTAATCTTCCAGAAATACCCTCTCTTCTTAACTCACCACTCTGTTCTGACCTACTGTTGTTTCTAGGCACAATTACAGGAGCAACATCTAACCTATTGAAAGTTGACACATTTTGTGATGACTGGTTCTTTGTAACACTTCTTTTTGAAGTTGCAGGTGCACTTGGAACAGTAACTGAAGCAGGTGGACTGATCTTTTGGACAACATTTGGATACATCTTTTGAGAAATAGCAGGTGCATTTCCCGTAGCTTCATTACATACACATTATAGATAAGAATATAAGATAAATATTATATTTATAATCATTGAGAATTGAGATACAACATAGAAGATAAAAAAAGCATACATGAAAAGGTTTTGGAATCTTTGTTAGTTTGTTCTGAGTTTTGAGTAACTGAAAGCCTCCCCAATGATTTTGGCTCCTTCATTGAATCTGAACTTTGTGAAATTGAAAGCCTGTTCAAACTTGACTTTGAAGGATTATCAGACAGAATCGAAAGGTTGCCACTTTGTTCTTGCTGACCATTTATCTTGGGAATGCTATATGGTTCAATTCTCTGGATTGATATATAAAGATTGCACAAGAAACATTAATACAATATAAGAAAAAGAATAGCTGAAAATTGGAAGAATGTAGAAAGTTATATTATTACCGAGACATCTACAACCCAAACTCCTACACAGCTTTGATTGTAGGAACAACCTAGAAGCTTTCCTTCATGCATATTAAGATCTGACAATTTTGACCATCCTACATCCACTGCATCATGAGTTCTGATTGGTTCCCATGAGAAGACTTTTAGACTCTCATGTAAACCACATAGAAGGGTTCTCCCATCAGGATTAAATGTCATACAACGTACACCACTAGTCTGAAATATAAAAACATAATAAACAAATGTGGATAAAAAGGACAATGTGCAATGAAAAGTTAAAGTAGATTAGTTCCATTTTGGCATCTCTATTATGTGGGTCCCATATATACAAATCCTCAAGGTTGAAAATGGGACCTACAAGATGGAAAATGAAAATGGAATCAAGTTTTGAAATAGTCTTGACCAAATTGACCCTAAAGTATTTTACCTCTGGACCAGCAGAACCTATGAGTTCCAAAGTCTCAAGGTCCCAGAATTTAACAGTTTTATCAGCAGATCCTGAAAGATAAGAATGCAAACAAAGGAAATTGATAAACTTTGAAAACAAAATACTATTTTGTAAAAGAATATGTGAATCAATGTTTGCAGCATAAGGTCTAACCTGTAGCAAGCAAGAACTCATGTGGATGAAAATCTATGCATTGAACCTGGCCTTCATGAAACTTGAAATCATGTAAAAGCTTTCCAGCAGTTAAATCCCATAGCTGTAAAAACAGTCAAATATTGCAGACATCAAACTACCATAGTTCCAATTTACAAACAAAGTGACATTTTTTTCATAATAAAAAATAAATTATGTTACCTTCACACTGTTGTCTTCTCCACCAGATACCACCCAACGACCATCTGGTGTAAATCTTATTGCATTGACCCCACGTGTATGACCCTTGTAAGTATGTATACATCCTTTTCTTCTTATGTCCCATATTTTTAGATTTGTGTCCAAAGATCCAGAAGCAAAAAACTCCCCAAATGGATGGAAATCCAAGGATATGCAATTTGATCGATGACCAGTAAGAGTGCGAACAACTATGAGGAATAAATTAGAGCACATTATTTACCATAATGCAGAAAATGGACAATGAAGTAAAAAGTTATATAGTAACTAGTAAGCATACTTTTTGCCTCTTCTAAATCCCACAACTTAATTGTACCACTTGCTGCTCCAGCAGCTACTAACACTTCAGACGAATCAAAGCTGACAGAATCAATTCCACTTGAATGCCCAGACAAACTCTGTGACAAGAATTGCGTTTTGTATTATGTTTTAAGGAAAAGGGTATTTTCATTGTAGAAACAAAGAAAGCAAACTGTTAAAAGTGGAATTGGGTAGTTTACCAGTATGGCATTTGGTTTGCCAATAGCCCATAGATTAACTTTGTGATCTTCTCCTCCAGTAACAAGAACTCTTGAAGATTTCCTACCAATCTTGAGGCAATTCACACTCGAAGTATGAGCTACAAATTCCTCTATAAATCAAATTAAGTCAAGTTTACCAATCGTATTCATCATTAGATTCAAAGCAAGCCCATTTGGCATTTGAAATCGCAGGCACACATTTAGTATGTACAGATCGGTTGCACTTCCCTAGATCAAAAAAAAGTAGGCCTACAAAGGGATTTAGTTCGTTGTTCACTAATCCGCTACATATATTATCAGTTATGATTCGATACTACAAGAAAAATACAGAAGTATAGAATAGAACGTAAAGAAAATAAATGTAGTAAAAGGATACGTAGCTTATAAGCACGCTTTGTGGTCGCCATGAGAGACTCTCAAGAATCTGATGAAAACGCAGAAAACCCTAGAACACAATCATTAACCGTTGCTTTCAAAATACCCAGATCTCCATATCCATCCACATTTTCTGGGTATTCCGAACTTCCCCTTTTTGAAAAGATAAAAGATCTCAAACCCTAGAACCAAATAATGCCAGTTGGCTCTCGTTTGAACAAAACCCCTACTGACAACTCAAAATTCTGTGGAAGAAGAACAAAAAGCTACAAGATTCCCCTTTCAGAAGAGAAGAAGCGAAGCCATTCCCATTTCCATTCAAATTTGTGAAGAAAGAAAAGAAAATAAGGAGGGAGGGAGGGAGAAGGAGCTTTCAAGTTTTTTCAAGATCTCTGAAACCCCATTTCAACTTCAGTTGATTTAATTTGTTTTTAAGAAAAATTTTACTACTACAATTGAGATGTCTTTTTTACTACCTACCTACCTTATTAGTTTCATGAGCAATGAGAGGGAAAACCACTCAAATGAATGCATATCATGCTTATGCTTTTGCAGCCGACCCCACTGTAATATAAAGGGATCACGATATTGCCTTCTTCTTATTTCACTTTTATGGTTTTAACAAGGTCACCTCCAATTCCAAACCTTATGGTTGATGGCTACCTGCACCCAAACATGGAATTGACTTGGTGTTATTACCATAAAGACTAGAACTTTGTTCCCTCTACTTTACAAAAGACCAAGTTTTACTAAATTTTCACCACAAATAAATTAATTGAACATATAAAGATATTCCACTTTAATTTAGGATTGAATAACTTAAAAAAATCACAACTAATATAACAATATTATTATTTTTTTATTAAAAATACATAACACACTAAATTTTCACCACAATAAATTAATTGAACATATAAAGATATTCTACTTTAATTTAGGATTGAATAACTTAAAAAAAATCACAATTAATATAACAATATTATTATTTTTTATTAAAAATACATATAACCCGGAAAACTTCATATATGTCTTTGTTAAATATTAGGATTAAGATATCATATTTTCTACCAAATTTCTAAATATTATGTTTGCTCGTCCGACACAAATCTTTAATTTAATGTTTTATAATTATTTTAAGTTTCCATACTTCAAATTTAAAATATCATATATATACTTAAGCATAAACTTTTATAATATTATCATTACCTATTAGAGAGACTCATTTCGATGATACTTGATTTTTTATTTTATTATTTTTTTTTAAAGTAAAAATATCTAACTTTAACAAATCATGCCATATGCGTCAAAAGTTATATTTGTTTAGAAATCATAAATAACTAACAAAATTACTAATCGGCCCAACTTGAGATGGCCCATGATGACTCATGCTACAGACTTATTGTTTTATAAAATTTAAATACGTCTTATCATGTTATCTCCGGGCCGACGTGTTAATCTTAATTCTGCCAGATCTATGCTTAACTATATATTAGCGTTTTTTAGTTAGCTAATTGTATCACCGACAGAAATTGATACAAGAAGCCACATTTATTTTTTATTATTGTATATTAGTGTTTTGTTGTACATTAATTCAATTATGCTTTTCTGGAAAATATCAAATCAATAATGGTACATGTAATAACGCCTTATGTACTGTGTACATTAGAGTTTATTATTATTGGCTCAATTACCTTGTAGTGACATAACACAAAATAGTTTTACCTCACTTACCATATGGTATGAGACATTGAGAATAAAGAAATATTTTTAATTTTTTACCCTATCAAGCATCAACAACGACAAAGATAGGAGTGTGGAAGTAAAAATTTTATGATATTTTGAAAGTTTGTGAAAGGTATACATGATATTTTAAACTTCAATTTATAAGAGATGTATAACAATCAATTGATAAGAAATTAAAATGATTATAAAATATTTTAAAATATTAAAGATAAGGATTTGAGCAAATATGATATTATGAAAGTTTATGAAGGATAATTATGATATTTAAGAGTTATACAGGACAAATATGATATTTTGATATTTAATAATGACATATTCAAAATTCTCTATGTGTAATAATATGTTTGATTAACTTGGCATCTTACCCCATGTCATTTCATTGGTGATTTGCTTGAAGTAACCTACACAACTTACACCTTGTGTTTGCACACCCATCAACATTGTTGTGGTCGTGTCTCGTCCAATCATTATTTCCCTAAGCATTCTACTTTCATTATAGGCAATTAGTTTTCATCTAGGCATTGTACTTTCATGTACAATCTGTAATGTCTATTTTACGTTTAAGTAATGCCTCTTGTTCATTTCCAAAATATTAATAATTATTCTGAAGGTAGTATTTCATGAGTTTTGCCTGAGATCGGCGGGGCGTGGATGAGGGACAAATGTGGGAGGTGGAGGTTGTGTGTTGGATGATGGTGGACGTGGGAGATGTATGTTTAACCGAGAGTTGTGGGTCAGTAGGAGTGGGTGATCGATGTCTATCAGGCATCTCGTGAGGAGATACCATCAAGGTGTATGGAGAGGAGGATAAGATCGGAGAAGATGTTGATGTATTGGTTTTGGCGAATGGAAAGGAGGATTCATTAAAACGGACATGACGGGCAATATAGATTCGTTCAAATGATAAGTCAAGATAGATACATGGAGTGGACCTAAAATCCATTTTGTGAGAATTGTATGGGCGTAGATACAGAAAACAAAGACAACCAAACAATAATAGGAATGAGTAATCAGGAGGACGTTTGAAGATATGTTGAAAGGGAGATATTTTTTGAGATGTGTGAAAGGGCATGCGATTGATAAGATAAAATAGCAGTTTCAAAAGCAAAGTGCCAGAAGCACTGAGGTGTGTTAGATTGAGCCACAAGAGTAAGATTGGTTTCGACGACATGTCTATGACGTCGTTCAACAAAGCCATTTTGAGCACTCGTGTGTGGACAAGAACGTTGATAAATAATGCCTAAATTGGTAAAGAGATTGGATAGGGAGCGAAATTCTCCACCCCAGTCCATTTGAACGCGCTTAAGTTTTGTGGAAAATTGTCTTTCAACCATAGTGATAAAATTTTGAAAGAGACTGAATACATCAGATTTTTAAGACATATGAAAGAACCATATATAACGAGAATGATGATTAATGCATAATAAAAAAAATAACGATGACCATTATAGGAAAGATAAAGGTAAATGTAATTATGAAGATTTTCCAAGTTGACATGACGAAAAAAAACTAGAAACATACTTGTTTGTAACAGGAAGTGAAAAAACTAGAAACATAAAATTTAAAAGACTCTTATGAGGATGTCCAAGTCGTTGATTCCATGTGACAGGAGATGCATGAGCTGCAGAGAAAGCAACATGAGAAGAAGACTTGGACTTGAACGACTGAAGCTTGAGCTTGTAGAGACCCTTTTCATTGGGGCCCGTGAGAAGGATAGTATGTGTAGACGCGTCCTTAATAGCAAAAAAAGAAGAGTGAAACTCAAAGAAGACATTGTTATCTAAACATAACTTTTGAACAGAAAGAAGTTGTTTTGTAATGCGTGAAACGTGTAAGATGTTTGTAAGTTGAAAAGTTTTATTGGGTGAGAAAATACGAGAAGAATCAATATTGAGAATAGGAAGACCTTTACCGTCACCAATGTGTAGATTGTCATTACCCTGGTATGTGCGAGAATCATCCATACTGGCAAGATCAGACTTGATGTGAGCATTTGTGACATCCCCAATTTCACGGTCAGAAAAGACCGATTTATTTATGCTTATTTAAAATCATAGTATCATTTTTAAAGAATAATATTGCGGAATTTGTTCTCAAACACATGATAATGATATTATCAAAACATTCCCGAAGAAATGTATTTTTTTTATTTATATTTAAAACGCTGGGATGTCATCATTAATACAGTACATAAGCATAAACGAAAATTATACAGGCCTCACACTAGTTTATCTAAACTATTGGCCTATAAGCATCCATAAATTGCTCGACACAACATCACACTTGTGCTCTCTGGTCACTACCTGTAATACAAGAAAACTGAGTGGGTCAAACTTGGGGGCCTGGTTAGCACATAGGGTTTTCAACCCACAATAATTATATTCTTTTAATTATATATCAAACATTCAACCCGATTACTCATTCTCGTTATCCTCATTTTCTGTCGCTAAAGCATCTAATTTTTAGGGACCTATCCTAGTGATTATCTTCGGGATAGGAAATAATGATCAGGGGATTCCTTAGCACTATATGTCAATAAGGCAACCATGGTGTAACAACTGGTAAAAATTGGTCAGAGTTCGGCGATCAAACCATCGTGAACCGCTAGTCATATTAGGGATAAGTATAGCCTGATCAACTATATTTATTCAGAATATGACCAACATGTGTTCGGGAGTGATCATAGCGGGAAATGAATCCAAAAGCCTACCTCCCTCTCCAATAACTCTAGGAACCCAAAATCTAAATAATTAAAATATACTATAGGAATAACCAAAACATGATTTATTTACGCACTCTCGTGCACTCAGTATGGCTGGTTTCGACCACCCCGGAGATCCTTATTTTCCCAATCAGGGAAATAACGGATGGATAGAAGAGTCTGATGAGGAATCTGAAGAAAACCCCGAAGGAGGCCCTGCCATGGGTCAGGAAGTGGGACCCGAAGTGGAACCGGAAGAATATGTGGTAACTGATTACGAATATGGTGAATCTGACCAGGAGTTAGATGAAGGGAAGGACGTTGAGGAGGCACGCAGTGAACCCCACCTATTGAAAGCCCTATCAGATCCACGCACGGTTCAGAAGGGTGATACAGACCATCTACGCTCTCTCGAGGAAGAAATAACCAGTCTCAAGCGTCAACTCTTTGCGGCCGAAGCAAGGGCTGTACGAGCCGAGCAAAGAGTAGAGGTAATCACCCAAGAGGCAAATGCAACTTCCACCATCATAGGGAGTGCAGAGAGATAAATTGCACAAGGTGCAACCGGAAGGGCCATACAACAAAGTATTGTAGGGCTCAGCTTCAACAGAACCAGATGACAAACAACAACAACAACAACTACAACAATAACAACAACACCGATGTTGGAGCCAGTTATACCTGTTACGGATGTGGGAAAACCGGGAATTTCAGGCGAAACTGCCCCAACGTGAACAATCAGGGGGCAGGAGCAACAGGGAGAGTGCTGACAATGGGTCAGGGTGAAGCAGTGCAGGACCCAGCCGTTGTCACTGGTACGTTCCTACTTAACAACTCGTATGCATGCATCTTATTTGATAGTGGGGCGGAACGAAGTTTTGTTAGTAATAAATTCAAACACTTGCTAAATCAACAATCCCAGAAGCTCAACGAAGCCTTTACGGTGGAAATGGCTAATGGGAAAACGAAAACAACCAAAGATATCTATACAGGATTACGTTAACACTAAACAACCACTCCTTCCAAATAAATTTGATGCCAATAAATATTAGGAGTTTTGATGCGATCATCGGCATGGATTGGTTAAGTGTAAGTCCCCAATCTGCTTGTGTATCAATCAGATCCGTTTGATGGTGCGGAATCCCAATCAAACAGATGATGCCAGATCAAATGAAGAAGAAGGAGAAGAAGAATAACTTGAATCTATGATGTATTGAAGATATGAATGAAGATCCTTACAATAGATTCACACACAC